CCAGTGTTTCAGTTATTTTTTCCTTTTGTCACTGATTTCAGGTCTTTTATGAATAATATCTGACCAAAGGATAATACAGAGATCTTCACAATATATAATCCCTAGGGCTGAGGAGAGATTATACAATGAAAGCAAATTCATAATGCGAGTTCAGCATCCACAATATGCTACAGAGAGGAGCTCTATATTGAATATGAGCAGAGTGATAGAAAGAGTGGACAAAGGTAGAGGTGTGTTTCCGTGAATCCAGTGTACCACTGGAGAATACCTTTCTTTTCCAATTCATGTTTTAGAATTTCACCACTGCACTATAATATCCCAGTTTTGAAGGTGACCATAAAATGAGAAGCTTGCACTATTGGTTATGAATGTAAGACCACATCTGGTTGAGCAATTGGGAGTGTTGCATGCATAAAACTACTGGGCACGGTTTTAGAGAAAAGGTTAAATTATTTGAATGTAACAACGATGGAAGCTAAAGGTAAAACTAGGTAAAATTAGTGGTTAAAAATGGCCAAAGATTTCTGCTTTAAGCATTGTAGCTCGGCTTTGGAAATAGGCAAAAAGGACAAAAAGGCATGTATGCATTAGGGGGTAAAAAATGGAAAGGACTTTTTTTGATAGCCAAAGCGGTTGTACTGAGGCGCTACCCCTCCGAGCAGTTTCTTCACAGGTTCTTCTTTTCCTTCTTCTCCTTTTGTGACTGTATCTGTACCTTGACTTCTGTTGACTTAAAGAAGCTGTGGTTAATAGTACATAGTACTGCAGTAACAGGCCCTTCAGACAGCAAAAATATCCCTGAGAGATATCAAGTGGTTTATGCTTTATTATTAAGTTCAGATAAATGATTTATGCCATTTGTAAGTACTTGCATGTCCTCCTCTGAACTCAGTTCATATGGACTCACAGTAACCAAGCATTTGGCTGCGCTCTTTGTGACTTCAAGGGATAGTCCCCGTAACTTTTTAAAAGTCCATCTAATACACTTCTAGAAGGTTTTGTGTAACATGTTTCTACAAGCAGATGGTGTGAAGCAATGGTTTTATTAGTGCTTACTTGGACTAACTTGCATTGTCTCTGAGTTCTGCTACTCGCAAATATGTTCCAGTTCAGAATGATGAAACATTTACATTCACCATGATGTCCTGTATGACACATTTATATATGCATTAGAGATCACTAACCAAGAAAAATTATAATTAAAATTTTGTTTTTATTTAAATGTGAGGGAAAAACGTCATCTACCTTTAACCTACTTATTTGCTGTCTGATGCTTACTGAACAATTTAATAAACATTGTACTAGTGGATGGCTATCCATTCGTGTATTTTGATATCTCTCTGGAGTAATAGGTTCTGTGCTGATTTGTCAGCTCTTGCTTGTTGCTGTCATTGTCTGTGCTAAGGACCGTTGTTCCATGGATTGGGCCCCTGTCTTACAGAGTAGCTCCTGCTTAAAGTGCTGGACTGTGGGATGTTTTCAAAATGTTAGATCTGACTTTTCAACTGAAATAATTGCAGACATTCTTTATCTTCTTTTTGCATCATTTTCATTAAATGTGCTTTTCTACTCTAGGAAAACAAGATTATAAGAAAACCAGGCCTATGTTAAGAGCTACAAGATTAAAAGCAGAGGCCAAGAAAACTGCACTAGGCGTAAAGGTAGAGATCTGTTTGATAGCTTATACCACCTTTGTGTATATGTTGTTTCTTTTCCCCATAGATGTACTGTGTGAATATTGATTTCTGAGAGATATTGTTTATGACACGTCAAAATCTAAGTGGAATGCCAGAATCTAAAATATTTATGATGGATTGCTTTTACTTAATCCTAAAATAACTAGAATAGTTGAAATGCTATAAGATTTTAGGTAGTCCATGTCCTTGTTATGATGCATACTTACTTTAAGGTCAATAAAGTACTGTATGCTTAGAAAATTGATCTTTTCAGGGAGCCTCTCTACACACAGAACAAATGCTTTAACAATTTCATATAGTTATAAAAATTACAATAAACATCTTCCTTCTTCCTCTTCCTATCCTATACCCAGGAGTAATTTAACGACTGGGTTTGTTAAGTATTGTAAATTCTCAGCATTATTATCTCAGTCTACATCCTTGTGTACTGCCTCTGACTTGGAAAACAGAAGGCTTAACTAACAGCAAAACACATGGAAATGTACTGAACTTTCTTTTGGAAATGTCCTTTTTTCAAGCAGGTATGAAGTATAATAATGACTAGTTGATCATGGCTGTGAATATGAGGACAATTAGGAATATTTTGTGCTATCAACTGCCCAGTGTGTCATCGATATGGGATTTATCTGAATGCACATTGTTTATTTACGTTGCATCCAGTATTTTTCCCTCAAACTTATTTTTGAATCAAATTGATATACAGTTAGCTTAGCAGCAAGGGTAAAAACCAAGCAAAATAAAAAAGTGGTTCAAATACCTTGGTATTCTAGTGAAAGAAACTTCAGAAATGTTAAAAGGAGAACATTTTCTTGTTTCTGGCAGATGAGAAATCAATTTTTTCAAGTTATAGCTTATAGCAAATGCCAAGGTATTACTACCAAGCTGTAACAGCTGTTGAGCTGCCAGATGATGTATTTGGTTGTCTTCCAGAATTTGCTATTATAATCACGAAACAGTGCTTTCTTTTTGCTCCTGATTGCTGATCTCGATCAAGCATTACCGTGCAATGCAGTATGTTTTCACAACATAATCTCCTCAGTTAGTGCTGTGTGTCAGGTTTTAATGAGAAAAAGTAGATCGCCTTTTTTGTTTAAAGGATAGATTGTTAACCTTTTGAGTGCAATGTTTTTTCCTTCCTTTCTTATTAAATTTTACTTTTTCTTTTCATTTTACTTTCAATGACATGACCTTTTAAAAGTAATGTTCTACTTGGAGACTTATACTCTACAGCCTAGTTCTTTTAAAATTTGCAAGTTTTTTGCATGTCTTTCACAAGAGAAAAATACGAAACTTGGTCCTTCAAAACCTGTTTTGTTTCCTTATTTTCTTAAGTAATTCTTACTTAAAAATGAGGGAGAATAGGAAAGCATATGTGTAATCATATGTATAATGAGGAATCAAGTATTAGTGAGTAAAGAAATCAAGAACAGTTTATTTTGTACAAATAAGTTCCTGCATGTTATAGCAGAACACTAGCTGACTTCTAGTAAGAATAAGTTTTGCCATCAAGGCACACACATGCTCTCCAGGTCATGGGATGTTGTGTTTCTGGGGTTCTGCTAATTGCAGTGTGCAATGTCTCAGGTTTGCAATTCTGCCTCTGCCTTAAAAAAAAAAAAAAAAGGAAAGAAATTCCTTAAAATATTGTCTTCCGGCTGTAATACTTTTTGCACGCATCGACCTTAAAATATGACTCTGGATCATCCCCGAACAGATCACAGTCATTTGCTTTGCTTCCTAATTGCTGAGGAAAGCTGACAGAGCTGAAGCAAAAGGGAGTGTAAGTTGGGCACCTTTCCCTCCGGGGATATGCTTGTGGGGGAAGGAAAGCAGGGCCTTTGTATGCAATCCTTCTCACTGAACGTGCTTAATGCCAACCTCAGGCTTACTAAATGTTACGATACTTCTACCAGAACATGGGCAATCCCTGTAGAATAAAACTCTGCACTTCTACTGACAGACCCTGCAGCACTCAGCACGGAAGCAAGGCATATTTAATGTCTCGGGGTAAACTTGCACCTCTTCCCACCTCGCAGTGACGACTCTTCACCCTGCTCTATCCCTCCAGTTCAGCAAAGCTTCGCCATGGGCAGTGGATGCGCCTGGAGTGTCTGCAGGGAAATCGCCCTCCCTACCCCAGGAGAGGTTGCTTAGTTGTGAAGCCCCGTAACCTCTCCCCCCCTTTCAGGCAGGGCTTAATTTTGCTCAGTCCATTGTTAAGTTCCTCCAGCTGTCCAAGAGCAATCTTCTTACGTTCATAGAATCATAGAATAGTTTGCGTTGGAAGGGACCTCTAAAGGTGCAGGGACATCTTCAACTAGATCAGGTTGCTCAGAGCCCCGTCCAACCTGACCTTGAATGTTTCTAGGGATGGGGCATCCACCACCTCTCTGGGCAACCTGTGCCAGTGTTTCACCACCCTCAGCGTAAAAATTCCTTCCTTCTATCTAGTCTAAATCTAACCCCCTCTAGTTTAAAGCCATTCCCCCTTGTCCTGTCACAACAGGCCCTGGTAAAGAGTTTGCTGCCATCTTTTTTTAAGTCCCCTTTAAGTACTGATAGGCTGCAAGAAGGTCTCCCCGGAGCCTTCTCTTCTCTAGGCTGAACAACCCCAACTCTCTCAGCCTTTCTTCATAGGAGAGGTGTTCCATCCCCCTGACCATTTTCGTGGCCCTCTTCTGGACCCGCTCCAACAGGTCCATGTCTTTCTTATGCTGAGGGCTCCAGAGCTGGACACAGTACTCCAGGTGGGGTCTCCCCAGAGCAGAGTAAAGGGGCAGAATCCCCTCCCTCGACCTGCTGGCCACGCTTCTTTTGATGCAGCCCAGGAGACGATTGGCCTTCTGGGCTGTGAGCGCACATTGCTGGCTCATGTCCAGTTTTTCATCCACCAGTACCCCCAAGTCCTTCTTGGCAGGGCTGCTCTCAATCCCTTCATCCCCCAGCCTGGATTGATACCAGGGCGGAATCCTCCACACCTATCCCAGATAATCCTCTGTTGTCTTCTGGATAAATTTTGAAATAAGAATTTCTTGAAGTCTCCTGCTTAGTGTGACAGCGGGCTGTTAAACCACTCATCATGTCTGTGGCTGTCAGAAGAGTCAGCAGAGTTGCTGTCCCATCAGGTTATGTACATTCGTGAAACTATTTTGAGGCTTGAGTGTGCATTCCTTTAATTGTTTCCTAATATTCAGAGCTTCTGAGTGTGCCTGAGCTCTTCCTTTGGGGAGGTACCATCATAGTTGTCGCTTCATATTAACGAAGTTTTCTGGTGGTGATAAGCGACATGATTCACCTTCCAAAGGCTGGGATTTTAGTCTTTTTAGATGATGTAGGTCCCGATTCTGTGCTGTGACAGTTCATTAACTTCAGTCTGTGTTGAGGGAAAAAAAAGTGGTGTAACTACAGTGCAATGTAATAAGTAGGCAGCACTTTAAATAGTTCAAAGTCCAAAGTTCTTGTAAATCTTTGAGAAAACACATGCATATGTGTATTTACCATATATTTTATTGGTTTATCCAGGTTTCAGTACATGATACAGTCTAGAGCATTTCAAAATATATTAACATTTTCTTATAAAAAGCTATGTTGCAGTTAATAAAAATATTGTAGAGGAAGGATATCCTTATCATACATGTAAAAGTACAAGCTCTCTGGAAAGGAGGAATATTTTTATAATTCTGTGAAATTCCTAACACAATAAGTACCATACTGCCACTTAAAATGATAGGATATTTAGTGCTCCTTGATACCTCTAGAGTTGTTTTGCACTAGCGTCCTGAAGAGTTTACATTCCTGGCTGTCAACTAAGACTTGTTGTAGTATTTGGGGGGGGGGGGGGGGGGGTGGGGGAAGAGGACTGGAAAACAGTGAAGGGATTTTAGTCCTTAATTTCTATGAAGATAATGAAATTCAACTGTTGTGTATTTCACCTTGAGAGCTGACAACATTCGCTTAAAAAAAAAAAAGGCCCTATAAATGACATAAAACTTTTCAGAACCAATCCCCTGGAGATCCGTCACATTTCATTGCTGGCATACTAATTAGCTTGTCTTGTCACACTTTGATTGCCTTGTCATTTTAATGCAAGGTTTAAAGTAACAAAGTTTCTTTCAGTCACTGGCATTTAGTACTTTTTAATTTCCCCAATGAGAGATTTTATCCGTGTTGATAATGTCAGAGAAACAGCTAAGCACTAATAACTATCAAAAGTTAGTTCAAGCAGGGTGACCATGCTAGTATTTGGTGTGTAATATTTGTTCTTTAAACATGTTTAAAAATTAAATATTGTAGCAGAGCTATTGTGCTGGCTCTGTTTGTATATGTGACACTAAAGCAGACAGTGCCAAAATATATGGTGTCTCTTGGAAAAACAGGACCCCTGTCTCGAGAAACAACTCGGAGAGAAAGCAGTATGCTGTATGTCTCCTGGTGTTTGGATAAGACAAAATTCTTTGTAGCAGTACCAAAAAGGGAGCCTCTGAACCTTCTCTCTGTGGTTGTTTTGTTGTCCCCCCATGGGGGGCTCGTGCTGGTGGAAGCCCACCTGCTCGTCCTTACCAGGTGGAGCAGCAAGGGGTCTGCACCATCGGTGCTAATTCTGCTCTCAGTGGGTGAGGAAGAGGTGCCAGCAGGAGGGTGGCAAGCAGAAAATGGTTTGAGGAATGTGGAAGCTCAGCCCCAGATAGCTGGGGTTTGGTATGCAGAGGCCGAAAGTAATGGGAGTTCTTGGGGAGAGATTTTTTTCACAGGCTGCAAGAATGAATCAGTGGTCTGTGGGGTAGATGATGAAATTTTCTCTCGTGTTGAAAGGTGGATGCAAATCTGAACAGTAGCATTTTACACCCACTTGCAAAGACATAATCGACTGCAGAATACCACTCCATAGAGAATTATTAGCAACGCAGTACATCGATTGAGCTCAGGAAAAAATGTTTCCTAAGAAAGTGAGAGCTTACTGTCTG